CACAGAGGCAGTAAGAGGCAATCAGGCCAGTGGTGGGGTGCAGTTAGGGGTGACTAGGCAGGCAGGCAGGCAAGTGAGCGATTAGGAGCCAGCAGTCCAGGATTGTGAGAGGAATGTCCGACTGCTGGTTTAGGCCCAATCCCCGGGGGGTCCCGGATTGGAGAGGGTTCAGGACTGGCTGAGGGGACCCCCCCCACACACACACACACCCATGCACAAATTTCATGCACCAGGCCTTTAGTCTCATATAAGTTTGGAGTTCATTGTCCAAACTGCTTCAATGTCCTCATATGGCAAATTGGGTGCACAGGCTCATTGCATGCAATATAAACAGTACTAGGCTAATATGATCTAAACCTAAAAATACTTGGTTGAATGTATTTGTTTGGAGAAAATTTACATTCAGGCAAAAAATTTTACTTATGTAGAAAAATACATTGGTAAATTTATTAAGCAAGTTTGAAATATGACCACTGGAAATTTTTGTTTTAAAATAGAGATATACCAGTTTATTTTCTCCTCTATTCTTTGAAATTTCAAAAGTAAATTGTAGACCTCAATTACTATTAGCTAATGCTATTTGTGTGGTCAGTGTATTGGAGAAAATATGTTTGTAGAAAAAATTGAATATGCTAATAACGACTAAACTGTACCCTTAGAAATAGTTAAGATGACAATTTTCATGTTATGCACTTTTGATTTTATATATATACTAGAGGCCCAGTGCACAAAAATTTGTACACTCGCGGGGGGGTGGGGGGAAGGGTCCTTCAGCCCAGCCTGTGCCCTCTCGCAGTTTGGGACTCCTCAAGAGATAACGATCTGCCTCCCCGGTGGCAGAGGGCAGGCCTAATCCCTAGGTGCAGCCTCTGGTTGGGCTCAGAGCAGGGCCGAATGAGGAGTCGGGGCGCCGCCCTCTGTCATGTACAGAGTGGGGCGGATAGGGAGGTTGCGATGCCACCCTCAGTCACGCACAGGGTAGGGCTGATTGGGGGGTTGGGGCACCACCCCCATCACACTCAAGGCAGGGTCGATGGGGAGGTTTCGGCGCCACCCCCGTCACACACACAGCAGGGTCGATGGGGAGGTTGCAGTGCCACCACCTGTCACACACAGAACAGGGCCGATCAGGGGGTTGGGGTGCCCCACCCTGTCACACACAGAGCCGCTGGGCGATCAGAGGTTGGAGAGTTCCCCCTATCAGGCACAGAGCAGGGCTGATCAGGGGGTTGGGGCGCCTTCCCCTGTCACGAACAGAGCAGGATGGATAGGGAGGGTGTAGCCCCGCCCCCTGTCACATACAGAATCACAGCTACATTTTCATCCACTATTGACATAACACTAACAAAAAACAAACTAAAATTCATTGGCTTAATATTGTTGTGGGGTTTTTTCGCCTTCTCTTTTGGGACTGCAGGTTGCTTTGACCAGGCTGGAGAACGTCCCAGGCCTTTGTCTTTAGACTGTAAGCTGCAGATTAGGTTCAGGTTGATTTATGTGCTTTCAAGTTCTTAGACCAGTTGCTATCAGAACGATCAGAGCATGTTCCTCTGATGGTGGACCAAGACAGGGCCATATGAAACTTGCCCTGTCTTGGGGCTTTAGCTAGGGACCAGCACACTGTAACTTTTAGCCTTTGGCTAAATAAGTCTCATGACAAAACCCAGCATCCCTGGGGTGGGGAAGTATAAATTCTCACTCTCAGGCACTGTAAGGTCATATAACGGGAGAGAGTGCAGATTGAGAACAACAATCCAATCCACCAAAACCTTTCTCTAGGAAAAGAAATAACTTTATTTTCAAAGTTAATACAATTCCCCAAATCCGTCTACATGGGCATGTGACCTGTGAAGTCCCACTTTAAAGTGCTTCTCACATGGTTTGATGTTTTTCTATTGCTGTATTAAAAGTCTTTATCATTTGTAAACAGAGTGCCATATTTTCATTTTGCATTGGGCCCCACACATTATGTGACTGGACCTACAGTTCTCTACTCCTCCCTACCCCTCTCTTTTCTCCCTTGCTCTTCTAACTGCTGGGAACTGTGGTAGGTACTGGGGAGACAGTAGAAATGATTGACAAAGTTCTACCCTATCGTCCCATCCTATCTAATAAAAGAGAAACATGGTAATTAGCTGTAACTTCGCTATGCTTCCCATCGGCTAATCAGGGAGATATGCAAATTAACTGCCAACAAAGATGGCGGTTAATTTGCATACATAGGCGCAATGCTGGGTGGCGAAAGGGGAAGGACAGAAGAAGCCGCCTGCTGCTGACAGTGATTGGAAACCCAGGTGGCAGGCAAGAGCTGGGTTTCAGGGCAAAGGTGGCCCTGGGGGCTGCCTTTGCCTGCCCCCCGGCTGGTGATCGGAGAAGCCAGGCAGATCAGGGAAGAGGCGGCTGCCAGCAGCTGCCTCTTTCCTGACCCCCTCCCTCCCCCACAGCTGGTGTTTGGAGTAGTACCTATATTTTTTTTCAAAGTACCTGTATTTTTAATAATTTCTTGACGTGGTAAAAGAATTTTACATTACGATCCAAGGGTGGTAGGGTGAGGAGAAAGAGCAGAAGAACAATCCAACAAACAAAAAGAGAAACAGAAATGCATGGTGGAAGGGATTTGAAGGGTGGGTAGGGGCATTGCCCAACTAAAATGCAATGAGTTTGTTACTGAGTACTATTCATGGGAAGACAGCTTCCTGACCCCTTCTCTATACAGCATATTGGAGGTAAAATGATTCATCCAGGTGGAAATATGATTATGGGTTGGAAGACAGACAGGGAAAGAAAAAGTCAGAAATAGACACTGAGAGAGTTACTGGCTGGCTGGCTGCAAATACTGAGTCTACAATAGTGATAGAATAAAAAAGTGGGGGATATCTCTGGAAGATTCAAGAGATAGGGGGTAACTCTTCTATTGTTTTGACTTGCCCAGCAG